AAAGTTGAATGGGGAAATGTTGATGCGTCACCATCGGATTCTATATAGCTGGAGCTATTAGGGTTGGCTGGTTTCATAATGATATTAAAACATAGTTAGAACCAATATTATTTAAGACGTCTATAGTTAGAACAAATACTATAAAAAACATAATGGTGTTAATATGAAGCAAAAAACTATACGCATCGAGCATGATGGTGGCTATAAGATATGAGCAGCAAAACAAGATATGTAAGTCATGATGAAAATATAGATCATGTTTTACCTGATAACGAAAGTGGAGGTATGTTTTCATCATGAAAAAGCTTATCCTTTTTCCTCCTATAAGCAGCTCTCCGCAGGGCGTTTCTACGATCTCTCTTGAGTTCTTCGTCGGTTTTTTGCAATCTTTCTTGGGTGTTATTCAAGACCACGTCTGATGTCGTTCAAGACATTAGACACTAAAACATAACAATAACTACTATTGATGTTGTAGTACGCACAAATCGATTACCTTGTACCTCCATGTCATTAATGAGACCAGATGCGACAGTAGCTGTAGCATGAAAGGTTGTCGCATCAACCGAGTCTGATGTATAATTGGAGCTAGTTGGGTTGGCTGGTTAAACAAATTAATGAAAACATGTGGAAAACTTACACATTAATACATGAATTCGAGTATAGATTATGATGGTCCCGTAGCTTTAAGAGGACACGCTTGGTTAGTATCAATTAAAATGGATGAACCACGAATGCTAGGATGTAACATAAATTAATCTTACTTGAATTACAAAGGGGACGCACAACATCTTTCCTGTGCTTATCATCTAGCGTGGGTTTTATTAGCTGCCCCACCATATGATCTGCCCCAACATTAGTTCCTATAGTTATCCACCACGTGCGTTCAGAATGCAAAGTGAAGTTAAACATAATCACAAATAGTATGATTGTCAAATAAGTACCAGGGATCACATATAAAGGTTGTTGAACATTTGTGATATCACATAGAGTACGGCGGTGAACAATCGGCCCCTCGTCTAGATGGGTTATAAAACCATCTGACTTCTTAGGGCGATAAGATGCCCGCCTCCACGCGTTGATAAGATCCCCATGGTCTACCATTTTTACAATAGGTATGAGAGTTAGAGAACAAAAAAATTATGTGATAAGATGCACCATCAATGAAGTCTAAGAAGTCATGTTACTATAACATATATGAAACAAAGAGTAGTCAGCAAAATCACTTGTCAATATACTTACTAGTCTTTGAACGGGATGGCTGATTATACTCTTGTAACCTGACCATATCCTCCTCTTTTTTCTTCCGATAAGATTCACGCCTCTGGGCGTTGAACTGCTCCCTTGTATCGCCAAAGTTTTGATTTTCATCATTAAATGAAGCTACTGTTGCATGCTGCTCGGAAGTTTTGTCATCTGCATTACGTTAAGCGTAAACACCAGAAAGCCCATTCAGCTAATCTGGGAGATGTCGATTTGGAAGTTGTATAAGATGCCTGTGAATACCTTGAGTATGATCTCGTAGCTTTGTCGTACCATCCTTATTATTCTCAGAATACGATGGAATCCCGTCGTTTGAAGGTTCCCGCCCTACATCTTACCAATCAACAAAATTTACGGTATGCACGAAACATTAGCAGCAATCTTGCCACAGTCTTATACCTGCATGTAAGGGTATGAAGTTTGCATTGTAGTCTCCAAGATTTATCTCGCCCGTAAGGACTGCAAGACACCATGCATTCTGCCACTTTCAGAAATGGACGTGAAGCATCATCTATAACCAATCTCCGGACAGTATTATACCTGATTCCGTCGAGTAGACGTTATCAACAATGTCAGATACGGGTATGATGCTCGCATTTTGTTCTGCATCACTCCTCCCGCTTGTAAGACCTGGGAGACATTATGCATAATGTCATATATTCACTTCTCGCAACTAAACGAAAACATGGTAGACAGCATCATACCTGTAGTTACGTCATCTTCATGTTGCTGTTCCCGAACCGTGCTTTTTGAATTCCCCATCCTGCAACTACTGAATGGCAACATGGTCACTGTATTTGTTTGCTAGTCAGTTGAACCTCCAATTCATAACATGTTTAATCCATCCTTGATGCGTTTGACTCGTCTTGCGAATATTTGCTCCATCACAGCAATAAAAATCACAAGCCACCAAACAAGAGACTTGCACTTGATTGTTTCATTTTACTTCCATTCCTTTTGTGCTTCTGTCCATTTCTTTACGTGTTTTTCAGGTTGTTATGTTTCAGCTTTTATTTTATGGAAGATGGACCACCAGATTTTAGTTTGCTTCCAAAAGTACCCGCTGCCCCTGCGTAGTCGTCTTAAATTATTGTATGGACTAAATATCTACGACATCGCTACAGGAAGAATAACCAGAAGCCATCAATGTCCTGCACTTGTTTGCTTAGTTTTATTTTGCTTACTTCTGCGCACTTCCTCAGTGTTTAGGTTGATGTGCTTCAGATTTTAATTCTGGTATAGTAGAAGAAGCAACAGATTTTGATTTACTTGCACATATATCAAACACCTGATTTTAACTTGGCTTGTCCTAGACCATGTACTCCCTCCGTAAAGAAATATAAGAGAGTGTTTATATGAATACTTTAATGCTCTAAACACTATTATAAACAAATACGCAGTTGTGCTTAAGGAATAGAGTTTACAGATGGCAATTGGCAAAAAAGAAAACACAAACCATACAGTTCTTGTTCCATTTGTACATTCAGCCAGGGTTATTGTTATACATATATACTGCAATGGCACTATAATGCAAGTGTTTTTGTTGTCTCTTCTACATCTTCTACATCTCTGTACCTTCTTATAATGCAAGTATTCTACATAAATACTGCAATTGCATTTCATTCTATTGTGCAGGATGCAGGATACAACTTCGTAAATTGTTTTTGCCAATTGCCATCTTCTAGGTCTGTATGGTTTGTGTTTTCTTTTTTGCCAATTGCCATCTGTAAACCTATACTGTGTAGAACAGAAATCAATCTCGCAGGCGTATGACATGGCTGTGAGATGTATGGGCTGTGAGATGTATGAGATGCGATTTGTATGGCATTTGAGATGTATGACATGCGACGGATGTATGGGTTTGTATACCTTTTTTTCGGATCGAGGACGTGTTCTGGCAGGATCCTGGCCGTGTCCTCTTATCCTCTTCCAGGATCGGCGCCGGATCCTGGATCAAGGGCGAGGAGTTCAGCGCGCTTTTCGGATCGATGACGTGTTCTGGCCGGATCATGAACGTGTCCGCTTATCGTCGGCCAGGATCGGCGCTGGATCCTGGATCAAGGGCAAAGTGATGGAGGGCGGCGGCGACCTGATCCAGGACCCGCGCCGGATCGTCGAGGTGTTCAGCGCGGCGGCGAAGTGATGGAGGGCCGCGGCGACCTTGTCCAGGATCGAGGCGGATGGAGGACGGCGAGTGAAGCGGGGCGGCGACCTCGACCAGGATGGAGGGCGGCGAGGATGGAGGGCAGCGAAGGGATACGTAGGGCGGCGAGGATGGCGGGTACGAAGGGATACGTAGGGCGGCCAGGAAGGTAAACCTCGCTTGAGAACAGGACTCGTCGCTGGTTAACCGTCGTAGGTTTTTTTTGTCGCAGGTTTACCTTCGTACGTCTACTGAGGGTCGCACGTGGATAGGTGCGGGTCCGGGCCTTAGGTGGAGGTTTTTTCGGTTTTTGATGTTTTAGGAAGAGGTGGGAGGAGGTACCAAAATAAACCGTGGGAGGTGGGACTATAAAAAACCTGGAAGCGAGACTACCAACTAGGTAATTAGGAGTAGAGATATGTTGATAACACTAAAACAGTTCATGATAACTAAAAAATGTTCCCGCGTTTACAGAATGTAAATGGATTTTTTAAATGTGTATACAATGTAAAACCAATGTCTGCGTAATGAGAAAAAAAATGTTTCACACGATTAAAAAGGTGTGCGTGACATTTAAAAAAACTGTTCACATATTTGCAAAATATGTATGGTGGCATTTTTAGAAAATATTTCTAAAATATATAAAAAAATGTTTGCATAGTATAGAAATGTATTGTAACATTAAAAAATATGTACATGATATTTTAAGGAAATATTATCGCACTTCATAAAAACTGTTACATTTTCAGAATATTGAATGTAAGAAAATGTTCGCGTGGTCTAACATAAATGTTTTGTGCCATTTAAAAAATGTTGAAAATAAGTATTTTAAAAACGTTCGATGTGTATAAGAAAATATTCCGCATGTATATGAGTAATGCACAATGTGGTTTAGCTTAGACAAGTGTTGAAAAAATAAATTAAAAAACACACGAAGAAGACCGGTGAATAAATGCCAAATAAAAACGAAGATTCCCGAAGAAACTGATGAAGAAAAGCAGGAAAACAGCAGTAACCCCAACAAACTGAAGAAACCCGATGAAGAAATGTGAGTAACCAGCCAAAAACGAAGAAACCCGAAAAAACGAACCAAAAGAAACAAACGGAGAATCGAAGGTGTACATCCGTTACTTGGACTGGGCTGCTTGCAGTAGGCGAGCCAGAGCTACATCTCGCGCAGTAGGCGAGATATTAAAAATAATCTATCGGCTGCCTGCTGCTTCTGCTGAGACAACTCGAAGCAAGAAAAAAATCAATCCCCAAATCCTCTCACGGCAGCGCGGCCTCCCGCTCCCACACGCGGCGGCCGGCGGGACGGACGTCGGGTTGGGGGCGGCGCCGAGCACGCACTTGCAGTGCGCTGCGGCCTTCCGCGCTCGCCAGGTCGAGCTGACAAGGTCGGCTCGGCGGAGCCAGCTGGAGGGGCTGAGGGAGGCCGATTCCCCCGGCTGCACTCACGGTGTTCGTCGGATTGCCGCGCCGGCTCAAGCGGCCGACCGCGCGGTGCTTCCTCCGTGCCGCGTTCCTGTAGCACGGGCGGTCGCAGCGCCCAGCGAGGGGCGGAAGGAAGAGGCAAGGAGAGAGTTCTTCGCCGGCCATGTCATCTCTGGCGAGCTGGTCGCCACTCTCCGTGCTGCCAGACGGCGTTTCCATGTTACCGGCATTGGCGAAGAACATCGGCGCCAAATTCCTTCGATGCAGCAGCTTTAGTTGTCGGCCTACTGCTCTGGTCTCTTGCGCTGGGTCATCCAGCGGAGGTATGGCCAAGGAATCGGCCTACGGTAAGCAGCAGGCATACAAAGCGGACGCCTCTGCGGATAATGAAGAGGGTGGTTCGGAGTGGAGCAAGGACGAGATCGAGGCCATCTCGGCGCTGTTTGCCCGGCCGATGCGCCGGAAGCCAGTGAAGCCGCCGAACCCGGCGACACAGCGGCCTCTCCCGCTGCCGCTGCCCCACAAGACGAGGCCACCCGTCACTCCAGCACCGACACAGCACGTCCGGCTGGCTTCACGCTCCATGTTCAGCGACAAGGTGCGCAAGAACCCCGAGGTCCTCATTGGGATTGCCAAGGAGATCGCTGCGCTCCCGCCGGAGTCTGATGTGTGCAAAGTGCTGGACCGCTGGGTCCCCTTCCTCCGGAAAGGCTCCCTGTCCATGACCATCCGGGAGCTCGGGCACATGGGGCTTCCTGAGAGAGCGCTTCAGACACTGTGTTGGGCACAGGGGCAGAAGGCAGTGCCTCTGTTCCCTGATGACCGGATCCTCGCTTCGACCATCGAGGTTTTGGCGCGCTTCGACGAGCTGAAGTTGGAGTCTGCGCTTGAGGAGTGCGTCCCCTCGGCGAGCCGCGCTGTCCTCGAAGCCATGGCGAGGGGGTTCATCAGGGCTGGCAAAGTAGGCCTGGCACGCAAGCTCCTTGAACTTGCCAGGATGAACAAGAGGACACTGCACCCAAGCATCTACACGAAGCTGATTCTGGAGGTTGCCCGGACACCTGAAGGCTATGGGCTCGCTGCTGCACTGCTCGATGAGCTCGGTGAGAGGCCAGACTTTGACCTGCGGCAGCAGGACTGCACAGCTGTCATGAAGGTCTGCATAAAGCTCAGGCGGTATGCAGCCGTGGAGAGCCTGTTCAGCTGGTTCAGAGGGTCTGGCGGGAACCCAACTGTTGTGATGTACACTACAGTGATCCACAGCCGCTCCCGTGATGGGAGGCACCGAGAGGCGTTGGCCCTGGTTTGGGAAATGGAACAGGCAAACTGTCTTCTTGACCTGCCGGCGTACCGGGTCATCGTGAAGCTGTGTGTGGCATTGCGTGATCCAGAAAGGGCTTTTCGGTACCTCTCGAGGTTGAAGGAGGCTGGATTCGTTCCGACCAGTGACATATACTGTAATTTGATTGAAGGCTATGCCGCAGCAGGGAGGATGGCCAGGTGCCGGCAGCTGATCAGGGAGGCTGAGTCAATCGGCATGTTGCTAGACAAGAGGCTGATTTCAAGCTTGTCTGAGATGGGTGATAGACGTCCTTGAACCACTGGAAAGTAAAAGTCTGTGCTTGTGTAATTGTCTAGAGGAGGTAAGACAAGTGGGTTTCTTTATGTGTTCTATTCTTAGCGGTTCCATGCTAGACGGGTGTATTTGTGATGCTTCCTACTGAAATCTGTTCGCATGAATCGCTTTAACCTGTAAGATTGTGGATAGTTTAAATTGCTAGCAGTTCCAAATATTTCTTCTTTCTCTGAACAGTTTGTTAACAAATCCATGGACATTGTGTTTGTAGATATCAGGACTAATCTGAACAGATAACTTGGCGTGTTCTGAGTTTAGCGAGGTCCATATCAAGCGGCTTCTTGGAAATTGACAAGGAGTCAATGTTTGATCATATTTTATCCTTCTTAAGATGACCTGAATTGTTCTCTGCATACAAGGGCACACTTCTGTAATAGGCTTAATCCACATTACTGGCTAACCATATTTTACAAAAAAATTAACAGTGCAGGATCTATGTGAAGCTTGTTAGTATTCATCGTGAAATTTTTATGCCTGGGTCCATGCAGAGCAAAGGATACGCTCCTACCTGTATATATTTTCTGTTGCAATGACTCTCAGTTTTGTTCTAGATTTGATGGTAATGGCGCTAGCTAGCTGTTAAGATATTGTTACATCGTTGTTACAACTAACAAGTTTGATTGTGATCCAGTTGATGATAACCACGATGCTTCATCAGCTACTCAATCGTCGACGCCTCCACCTCGGTACTATTTTTGAACCGTCTAAGTTTTCTCCTCAGAATTTTCAGATAATGTCAGCTTTTTTCTGAGGAAAGGCCTATGATATTGGTAAATGGGGTTTACAAAACAGATGTAATTAATATTTTGTTGCTCTTTTTAGATCTGATGGTAATCTTTTTGCCATCTGAACAGAAAGTTTATAAAAGAATATTTGACTGGGAAACTGTAAGGTAGTCTGTCATTTAGCAGTGGTAGTGCACTTACAGGACCATAAGGGGCTTAATCATGAGCAAGGAACTGAAAGTTGACTTTTTTGGAAGAGCAGTATGATTTCCCCAAGAGAAGCTCCCATTATCGTCTTCTGTTGTGTTGGTCTGAATATTCTGAAGAATACGTCTGAAGATAAGGAAATCATCTAAGGAGCGGCAGCTGGAACGGATCCCGGGGGTCATCAACTTATAGCGCCTTCTTGACAGATACAGAGTTGTTGATAGCAGCAGAGTGAAGTCTTGGGAGCAGCTGCTTCGACCCATTCTAGTTGTCTAGTCCAGCCATGGATAGGCAGAGTTGCCCTTCCTCTGATGGAAGACGTGGCAAAGTTAATGAATTTGTTAAGTCAGGTTCAGGACTTTGTATGATAGCTAAAATCAAAGTAAACCCTTTATATATAATTCAGTGCAAATTTCTGTGGAAAATACATGTTAGCTACACTAGCATATGTCTGTAAAAGATTATTGTACCGAAAAGATTATTGCATCTCTGAAAATTTTCAGAGATTTGTTCAGGAATTGTTTGTTGTCTGAACAAGACACATATCTGAAGATTCAATATTGACTTACACCTCCTTGGAGTTTACATCTGGTGTGGTGTTCCTCTCTTCTGAACACCATGTTTGCATGTTTATTTGATTTAGGTAGGTGTATAGGCAAGTTCTAATTTGACCAGGTTTGGACATACACATAGCCAAAAGTTTGAGTGATAGTTATGTTCCAGTTGCATTTATATTTAGATTTGACAGAAGGAACAAAGTTCCAGGTATAACAACCTGTTAGTGTGTTCCTTGACATTATACACCTGAGCACCCCTACTGTTAGCACCAAAATTAGCATTATTCTTGGCATGTATATGAATGCTTTGTTTGCATGCTTGTTTCATTGAAGGAGGGCAGAATAAGAGTAAACTGAACCATGAGATTTTAGAATCAGAAAGTAGGCATAGCGAAAATTCGATTATGAGCCCGTGTGCTCAGATGATCTCGATATCTCTCCCATTCACTCGCATGTGCATCCGTGCCTTTCCGTGTATTCAACGTCGTGGTATTCGTGGTGTATCAATCCAGAAAAATGTGATAAAGCTGACGCATTTAATGTGACGGCAGTCTGCGGACCAGCCATTTTCCTGTGCCAGGCTGACCCGTCACGGGTGCACAGACGTCTTAACGGCTACCCCGCACGCCCTGTCATATATATTTCGGGTGCATCTGAGCTCAAGCACCCAATATACATAGTCATTATGAAAGCTTAGCTTGCTTCAGTAGAGCACGCTCAAGCTTCAGAGAAAGAGTGTTTGTATTTTTTTTCACCAAGTAAGCTATTACAGAGGATAACATATGCATTACTTGTTCTGACCAGGGTTCAAAAATAACTTTCTAAAAGAAAAAGGACAAACATTTGTCAACAGGCAGATCCGATTGGTTTCATATTATTATATTGTCTAAAATAGCAACATGGGACCTCAATATCATTCATGGAGGGATATTTCAGCCCGCAAGCATTCTGATAGGTCTCTTTCCACTTTTATAGTTTCAAAAACGCTCTTATATTATGGGACAGAGCAAGTAGTTGACTTGTTTTTCTTTCTTCTAAGGTTATTGATTGTTTATAAGCTGCGACAGAGCTGCCCGGCTCGTGTAACTATTTTGGTGTGCCTTGTCCAACTGGACCAACTCACATGTGATATTATATATTAACCTACCGTAAAACACACTCCCTTTGTAAGCTTTTATAAGACGTTTTAGATTCAACAGTAGAGATAATAACAGATTATAAATGTCCTAGTGCGTGGTATTAACGATCCAACAGTAGGAATATTTTATTTTGATTTAAAAGGTTTTCGAGAAAAATCTTCTCTCCGTATTTTACTGCTAGTAACCATAGTGTGTATCCACCCTGAACCATCGTTGGTCTTTCTTCTGCATTTGCCTCACCTAGCCATGCTAATGCTAGTAACCGGGTGGCAAATGTGGTGAGCACCCTTAAAAGAACAAACTAGCAAGTGCACTTTGGGAGCTAGCCTGCACCGGTGGGATCACCACTAGAGTTCCCTTTTCCGAGTGCATAATTTTCTACAAAGCCGAGTATGGGCACGACCAAAATCTGTGATAATTTGTCACTTCCCGTCCACACGCAACACAGAAAAAACCGGGTTTGATCCTTCTTTTATGTAGTTCATCATCCACTGCAAGCCTATTTGTAATCAATCTACATGCTTGGATGGCGTTGTTCGGTGCGTTAGAATCCCACGAAGCCAGCCAGCCCTTGTGGTTTATGGCCGCTGAGGAGGGTTCCGGTCGTCAGACCCTCAATCGATTGATAAGCATCCACATGTACTTAACTATAAGTGC